ATTGGGGGAGGGGCCGGCGCCCCGGGTGGGCGCCGTGCTGTGCTGGCTGGGGTCGGGAGGGCGCGATTCGAACGAGCGCGGAACACCGAGGCCGGGGGCGCCGGCCCCCTTGGCCGGGGGTGGGGCCAAAATCGGGGCGCGCGGCGCGGGGCCGCCGGTGGACCCGCTCCGGCTGGACCCTGGCCGGGTTGCCCTCCCCCTTCTGGGGCTTTGCGCAAAGCCGACCACTCTGCCGACCGCGGACTCAAAAATACGACCAACTCGCCGCGAGCGACTCCCGCCCCACTTTCCGGCCCCCGCTTGTCCCGCCGGCCTTATCCTTCCCACTCGTGCCCATAAGAAAGCGCGCGGAAATCCCCACGCGGCTATGACGGCGGCGAGTTTGCCCCTTTCTGCGCAGAAAGCCGCGGCGGCCAGGGCTGCCCTCGGGGCGCAGCAGCCGCTGCAGAACGGCTCCGCGCCCTCCAAGGGCCCCGAGGTCCTGCACAAGATGGACGCCTGTGGGCGGGAGCTGGAGGAGCTCACGCGCGAGCTGGCGTCCGCCAGCGCCGCGATACCGGCCAGCCAGGACAACGAGGACGCCGCCTTCCCGTTCATCCTGCGGCGACAGGTGGGTGGCTTGAGCCCTCTGATCGCGTTTGGCAAATGTGACGGAGAGCGGTCCTTGTGCCCGAGAGACGGACGGGTGTGGGTTGGGGTGGCCGCGCCGCGCGGGAGGGTCGGTGCTGCGGCCGGAGAAAGTTGGAGCTGCTGATTCGGTGGTTGTCCGGCGGCGAGCGTTGCTTTTGTTGTGGCGCGGCTGCTGTTGGTTTTGCTGCCCGCTGGTGGCTGTTGCTTGTGTTGTCAGGTTGCGACCGCTGTTATTGCAAGGGCAGGTTTTTGGCGGTGAAGAGCAGCCGCCCCCCCGCCCCCACCCCACCTGAGTTCCAAGTTTGTGTTCCAAGCTCCAACACCCTCCCCTGGTTCTAAGTTTGTTTTTGGCTTTGTGAGTTCGCTTGCCATGGCGCTGGAGAACCGTCTGCCATCCCAAAATCGCTGCGGGTTGCATCCATCTGATACCTACGCTGCAAGCGATACACACCTTTAGTGCAGAGGCAAGGCAGCCACGAACAATGCCCTGGAAGAATTTTGGGGAGGATCGTTGGCTGGAACCTGAACCGACGAGACTGGAAGTCGACCACAGCACGAAGATGTGCTTTCGCCAGATGGAGGAGTTCTGTGCTCCTGTTGCTTCAACTCTTCCCCATCCAAGGGCTGTGGGCGTTCTCGAACAAACTGCAGGCTGCACATCCTGACACTGCTAGTAGCGATTCACGGTGTCAGCCACAACCCACTGTGCCAGCATGTTGCAGACCCAGGAGCTGCTGTGCCACCAAACATCAGCTGATAGGCTTTGTTTCAGAACAGGTGGTGCAACCGATGCAAAGTCGGGCGATGAGCTCTCCTTCAACAGCTGTTGCTGTGAAACCATGGCTTGAATGGTCTGTCCTCAGTGGGCCATCAATGCAGCAAACCTGGTGGAACAAACTAGGCTCCAACCCATGGTATATGAAGGTGCCATTCTCCTCTCCACAATACTTGGTTGGGCAAACACGCAGCTGCTGCAAACAGACAATGCTGGCTGATAAATGAGTGAGGCCATCGCATGCCATGATTCATGGCAAGCTTATAGTTGTCGCAGGTGCAATCTGGCAAGTGACTATCAGTCTGAGAGCAGAATGTTGCCAGATGTCATCGTATCCAATGGCCTTGTCACAGGCGGATATTCCATGGTGTCATTGCTGCCCGTCATGCCGGGAATTGGCCCAACCGGAGAACAAGCTCATTGCCACCTCTATTGCCTGCCATCCAGTTGCAACGCCACAACCAAGAAGCCCCACTGTTGCGCTGTGCAGTTCCACAATCACCGCAGCACCAACCAACTGCTCTTCTGAGTTTCTGCCATTGTGCAGATTCATTTGTCAGGCACACATATGCTGGGAGCACTTCACGACCATAACTTTGTCAAGGCAGCAGTTGGCAGAAGGTGCTGCAAATGCAGCTTCTGTTCCTGTCAAAACGCTTGTCAAAGGCTCACACCAGGCCAGCGGTCGCAACCTACTGGAAAGTGGAAAATCTTGTTCATGGAATGAGCACAGGACAACATGGAAAACAAGCCCTTCATTGCATATTGTGCTGGTGCCAGCCGTCCACACTCTCAGATGGACGCTGTTGCTGCACCTCACTGTCCCCTGTTTACGAAACTCTGATTCCTTTGCAATTATCATGTGGGACATGATGGAAGGGGCTAATGTCTAAACGCTTGACTCTGAATTTGCCTGCAGTTGAGCCATAGGCTGGAAGGTGCCAAGGGCGACGGTGAGCCATATCACTTCAAGGGCATCCTGGACATCCTTGCCAGCAGCAGTGCCATCAAGTCCACAAGCGACTTGGGCAAACCTGAGTGCTTCGACATCAACCTGCTGGACAACCCCACCCTCTGGAGGCTGCAGAGGATGGTCAAGTTGGCCCAAACGGTCAGTTCCAAGGGACAGTTTTTGGAGGTTAAGGTTGCCGAAAGTGGCAGCAAAGTGTCCAAACATCATCTCCAAAACATCTATTTCCACATGGTTTGAAACATTTGTTCATCTCCCTGCAGGTCAGTTCGGAGGATGGGGATGGGGCTGCAGCGCCAGCAACAGAAGCAGCTGCGCAGCCAGCGAATGGCAGCGTCCCGTTGCCATCATCTGGGGCTGACGTGGAGGTGCACGATGCACGCCCCAGCAACATCCCCTCCACTGCCGATGCCAGTGTGGTTCCCCCTGCCAACGACGAGCCGTCGCCTGGGGATGAGGCTTTGCCTGGGGCCGCCTCGTCACCAAGGGAAAACCAGTCGCCAGGGAGCAACAAGTCTTCCAGGGAAAACGTATCACCAGGAAGCAACCCAGCACCTGATCCCAACCATTCGCTGGATGCCAACACGTCACAGGAAGGTAGTCCTTCGCCGGCTGCCAGCCCGTCTCCAGCATCGGATGGTGGAGGCACCGACAAATGATAGATGGACTCTTTCTTTTTGGGGTGGGTAGGGTGGGAATTGGAGGGGCAGGAGCAGAAATCGTTGAGTTGCCAGTTGTACACCATGGGCAAGGGAGTAATATGGGGGCCCTGGCTTCTGCATGGCGATGTAGAAAGGCTGGTCGTGACAGAAAACTGGGGTTGGGGAGGTTATGGGATGTACAGATCGACTGAAGACTAGCGAGCACACTTTTCACATCATCTGGCTCACACGAGTAACATCGACGGTGTTGTGTACCAAGACCACCAACACATCCAGGCAGCCAACTCAGCACCCAGGCATCATCGCCTGGATGCTTTTCCGACCCAACGAGACTGGGGCCACATGATGTGCACCTAACCAGCTTCGCACCGCCTTGCAGTGCCCAGCCAGCCAGAACCCCCAAGCCATGACGTCCACCAGAGATTTCCCAGGAACAGCACTTGGCCGTATTGGCACCTGGTGTGCATACTGTCACACAAAGGCAATATGGGCTCTGTGATAGTTTAGACAGGGGGGTAAATGGGGTCAACACAGTCCTCCCACTGCCAATTCGGCTCTTTCTGTCGCTCAAAGATTCACCAAGCCGCCCAACCACCCACCCCACCATCACTACCTTCCTCTCAGGCTGTTGCACAGAGTGCTTATTTTATGTGCTTGGGATGGGGCTATGGCTGGGGAACTGGGGAACACTGATGTGCTTGCAGTCTCGAGTGACCGTCACCAAATGGGGCCAAGAGGCAACGGATTGGAATCCTGAGACTGTTAGCCCAACTTTGTCGCATTTGCTGATAGAGGGGGTTGGCATGGTCGCCAACGGAAGCAGCAATGATCCGGCCACAACACACCCCACACAGGGCTTGGAACACAACCAGCTACCTACAAATCATACATTCTTGTACCTGCAGCCCTATTTTTAATAGTATCCTTCAATTGGTTTGCGCTGGAGCAAGCACCGTCGGTCAGTGGGACTGAACTCACAGGCGGCCCTTCCACCCTCCCACTCGTGTGGGTCGTTCCCATGCTTGGCGCGCACGGGGAGCGCCGCAAAGCCCAAGGCTTCGCTGCCCACCCGTTCTGCCGGACCAGACCGCAAAGTGCCCCCTGGCCCTCGCCGCATGCCCTCCCAACCGCCTCCGCAAGCGCCCAACCCCCCTCCCGACTGCTTCTGTAAAAAAAGTGAGCAAATGCTTTTGCACAGCGAGCGAGCCCTCCGCATGCCTCCCTGCCTCGCCCGCACACGGCAACTCTCGCCCGGCTACACGCGTCGCAGCTCAGCCGACCAGCGCCCGATCCATTTCGCTTCGTCTCCTCGCGTCCCTCTGGCGCGAGCAAGCTATGCCCGGTTCGCTATTTTGGCGATGCGCCAGCCCGCACGCCAACCGTTTTCCCATCGGCGCTGCGCAGGCCGATCGCCCGGCCGTCGCCGATCGCCGCCTCGACAGCATCGCCTCGCCTTTTCTCACCTCCTCAGCTCACCATCTCCCAATCGTCGCGCTCGGCCTCCCCCTCCAACTCGAACTCCACCACGCCCATGTCGCCGCTGCCGCGCGGCTCGTGACTCGTGATCGTCACCAGCGGCGCGCCGCGATGGCGCGCCTCCAGCTCCCCCAGCCGCCGCACCAGGTCCTCCAGCTCCTCCGGGTTGCGGCAGTAGAATCCGATCGCCAGCGACGGATCGATGGCGGCAATGGGCATGTGGCGCAGCACACGGCACTGGTAGGTGGAGGGGTCCCCGGGGCTGGGCGCGATGGGCTGGACCTCGTGCGGGTCCAGGTAGATCACATGCTCCTCCTGGAACCCCACGAAGTACAGGGAGGACGCCGGGCGGCCGCCCACGATCCCCAGGCTCTGCGGCCAGGTCATCACCTCCTTCAGCTGGGGCAGGTAGGCGGGGTGCACCGCCCTGGCGCCTAGCATCAGGGCCACCAGCACCACCAGCCCGGGGGGGCCCGAGGACACGTCACCGTCCTCGCGCCCGTCCGAGAGGCACCAGTCGCCGGTGCCCCCGGACGACTGCAGCCTGCGGACGCCCGGGGAGTCCGCCTTGGTCCCGGCCTTGGACTCCACAACGCGCACCGCCATGTCCCTCTTCGTCTTTGGCCATTCTTCCCTCTCTTCATTCGGGCAGAACGCCCCCTGATCGCCCTCAAAGAGAGCGCAGAATTCCCCGAGTCGCTCCCGATTTATGAACGGCGCCCCGCCGCCCGGATCCGAGACCAGCATCGCCCTCAGCCCCATCGGGCGGCTGCCGTTCACCGCCTCTGCTATCACGTTGCACAGCGCCCACGGGCCCAGCCACCGGCCGGCCGCCACCCCGTGCCGCCCGCCCCTGGCCACCAGGCCGTGGACGCTCAGCGGGTGCTCGTCCCCGGGGTGGTCCCAGAACATGCGCACCACGCGCTCCAGCAGCAGCGGGAATGGATTCGCGGACTCCGCCCTCCAATCGCGGCCCAGGGAGTGATGCAGCAGCGCCTGGGCGAGCAGCATCTGGCCACTGCGCAGCGTGCAGCCCCACCCCACGTCGCTGGTCAGGCCGGCGGGGCCGACGGGCGGGAAGTCGGATCTGTAGGACATCCACAGGCGGGACGCGAAGTCGGCCAGCACGGCGTCGGCCACATCGGGGGGGAGGGCGCCGGCGGCGGCCGATGCCGCGTCGCCGTAGC